TCCCCATCCAGGAAGACGGCAGTGACCAGGGCAGCTGAGTTTGCTGGTAATGGCTTTCATACTTCGCTGACAAGTCATTGTTTGACCGCCTCTGGCTCTCTTCCACCCTTCACGTGGTTGTGCGAAAAGAGCCCTTCGAGGAAGTCGGTCGACTGGCATGCGCAACACTTGCCAAACCAGCGCAACCTATGCAGTGTGATCAGTTCATCTATCGAGGGTAAAACTTGATGCTCGAGTCGGGTCTATTGGTTCCATTACCAGAACCAATGGTATTGGGTTCCTACTCCGACCAGCAGTTGGAAGAGTTATATCTACTGTCTAGTAGGCGCGCACCACCATCTTCCCACTCCAGAACGAAAAGTTACCCTAATCCGTGACCTCATTTCGGTCCGTGGCACACCGTTGCTGAGACCTGGTTACTCGAATTCGAGCGATAAAGACATTGATACTGATTGATGTTCAAAAATAAGTCTGGGTGCGGCCAGTCCCAAGCACTATCCCCGAGACTGAACAATCATGGTTTTTCCTCAAGAACGGACTCTTGGTCAAGAGGTGCGACGTAGACTTAAATGTAGACTTAAATCGTTTGCTTCCTACTGTCAGCAGCACATTCCTTAATCAACGGTCGATTACATGGTTGTCGGTGACGTCAAACGGTTCCGTCGGTCTCGCTGTGTCATGTACTGGCAAATACAGTCGTAACTGGCATACATTATTAAAATCTTTGCATAAAAAGAGTTTAGGTAGTAAAGAGTATGGTGGGAAAAGGGAGTATTTCAGTCACTCAACCGGCTTTAATTAAGAATCGTATTTGGTCGGCAACGGCAGAGTTAATGCTTTCAGGTGGCGTTCTTGATAACAAAAAGGTCGTGGATACAGTCGAATGGCGACCGCCTCTGCTTGAAATCTACTTGAAATCAGTTAATAAAGCGCCACAAAAAGGGACATTATTCACAACACCGGTGGGACACATTTGAAAAACCGATGGGTGATGAGATAGTTTACGTGCATCGTTTCTCCTAATATTATGAATTACGTCGATTTCATACTCCACTGAGAGAATGTGTCGATAGATTTGATCGCAAACTTCGCCAAAGCTGCTTTGCATATGGGGATCTCAAGAGTAGATCTAGCAGGAAGGTCAGATTCCTGAAAGCAACCACTGAATGCCCGGAATCTACCGAGACCCTCAGCTCCGCTAGATGTTGACCAGACAGACAACGCCCCTTCAGTATACACCACGTCCGGAATTGGGCACTGGAGCGCACCAGCAGTCAGATACAACAGATTGGCGAATCAACAATATAAGATCGGATGGAGAGAGCACAATGGAAAACAACCGCACATTCCTTCATTATTGTCAGTCGGCGGTTTCACTCGTTTCGCCCTTCGTTCATGTTGAAAGTATATCCATTCTAGAGTTATCAATGTGAAAAACAAACACTCTGCGACCGGAAACACCCGCAGGTTTGTGATTCCTAGTGCATTCAGTGGGGAGATGATAGTAGAGTGGTGGTTGACTGTGGGGAAGAAATTGTCCGTAGGTTGCCAACGCCAGTTGGTGGGTATGGTCCAACTGACCTCCCGAAGCCGCTTCGCATAGCATGGGTAACATAAGTGTTCGAAAAATGTACCTCAGATGACCTATTTGAGTACGCATTTGATTTTCTTTAGTCGGCTCCGGAGATTGACGAATCTCCCCAAATGAAAATAATCTTGTGATTCTGTCGGTGCACAAGCCAGCGGTTGCAACAACAGTCTCTGGTATGAAAATCAATACCATCTGATAGTAAAAGCAAGGTCGAGTTATGTAACTTGGTCTGAAAAGCTTGTTAGTGGTTTTTTCTATTGATTAGATGTGGTAGCTGCTGCCTTGCTCGCGATATTGGTTAGCACGCTCGAGCAAATAATTTATCACCTGACTGAAAAGCAAGTTCCGTGAATTGGGCTTGGATGTTCACCCTGTTAATCAGTTTTCTTTGTTCCGGAATCGGTGTCAAGCGGGTTTGAACTGGGTGTGCAGATTAGCTCAAATTACAATGTTGCACGCTGGTTTCTGTGTTCGGTTGACGCCCGCTTTTCCCATCCATTTTTCCACGTGGTCAGCTATACATGAGATGAGTGGTGTCGCTGCCTATGAGGTGGTTGTCCAGCCTTTTTATTATTTTCACTTCGCAGAAATTCACTTTGTTATGTCAATCTGTCACTAATGTTACTTCAGAGGACCCGAAACGCAGATGAATCTGAATGACATAGTGCGTGAACAGAGCTGGTACCAACATTTTCCATAGTATATCCACGGTAGCAATGCATTAGTTCTGAACCTTACAGTGGTTGTGTGGTGTTGTACGGTTGACGACATCAACTCTTTTGTCTTCCGACAAATTTGATCGATACTGCTTGCAGTGTGTGGCGAGAGATGAGCTAGAGGGTTTGTAAGAGGGGTTGGATTGCATGAATGTATGAATGAAAACCACATAGATTTCGAGATAGTAGTTTATCATCAACTGAATAAAACAATATTTTGAAAAGGCGTCAGTTCATCCCGCAGACTTTGTTTCGTACCTGCCTGCTATGAAACTTTATTTTTCCTCATTCCTGTTTTGATTTAGGTCACCCGAGCAGCAGAAGAGTGTGCCAAAAGTATAGCGCAACACCTTCCTCCAGATTTGTGCTTCAGCGTCCTAACTCCTCTGATAAACGACACAAAAATGCAGGTCAATCTGCCCGCAGTCAAAATGCAGGAGCACGTGGTTCGAAATTCACCACCAGATTTAGTCACCGATGTACTCGACGTTATCATACCAGGACTGATTGTGGTGAGTTACACTATGCTCAGTAGCGTTTCCTATCAGGTGGTCGAAAACCAATTTCTAGTTGCCTTCTGCCACACATGTTTGAACATGCTGCTTGTTTCCAATTCTTTTGAGGGAGCAGTCGGGTGAACGTCACCAGCCCTCCATCTCTGTCATAAAGGAGTTTTCCCGCTATCTAGTTGATGATAGTGCTCCATAATGTCCTCTTTCCCCATATTTCGCTGCATGTGTGCTCTTTATTTATGGGACGCTACGACAGTTGCTCGCAATAAATTAATTTGTAGGCAGTCTTCATCAAGCTGAATGTGTTCACAATTCCAAAACGTTTTGTGGAACACCTACTACCATGGTCGTTATTCGTCTGAACTGATCTGGATGAATTACTGTTGGATCCGATCCACCATCCGAAAGAGGGTCAGGCCGGCGTAACTAACAGGAGTCCTGGTCTTAGGACTTAGGATACACTAGACTGAGACGAACGATCTTCATCCTTGCATATGTTCGCCCTTACGACTACCGTTCACCATATTTTTTGGTTGTTTGGAAGGCTACAATTCCACAGCACGTTTGAATAAGTCTATTGTCACTATCTGATGTCTGTTCAGACGCCGGTCTCGAAGCCTCAACTCAAGTGCTGCCCAATGGTAGTGTGGGAAGATTCGGTATTTTTTAATCATGCTTCCATTGTCTATGAAGCCAATCTCTGCTGAAAAACCGAGAAACACTGTACAGCCATCCGATCCTTATTGGGAATCATCAACTGTGCGCGTCTTACGAAACTCCCTTGGGTTTCCAGTACGTTTTAAGTAAGGAACAACAACCTACCATGGTGTCCACAGGCATTCTAACAGCCAAATGGCCGATCCACTACATCGTTTATCTCCTTGTCTAAATTCCTTGCGATGTATCCGCCCAGATTACTGAGTGTGTTGTGAAGCTTGTTCGAGTTCGTCAGTCCTTCCAATTTTACTCGCCTATTCCACTTTACTAAAAGCCATTCACCGTGGTGCTAATATTGGCTTTTAATCCCTCATTCTTCCTAACCAACGCTTTATTTAATCAGATGCTGCTTATCCCTTGTCTGACACGTCTGTTTCCGCTCTAGGCATGCAACCACGAAGACAGCTCAATGCGTAAGGCCAGTATATTCTGCATGGTCGCAATCGCTTTGAAAATTGGTGATGCAATCTGGGAGCATCTCAATGATCTTCATGTCAGTAAAGTGAGTTCCTTCCGAAGCCACGCTGGACGTTGCTCATGTTCCAACGGTTGGCACCTCTGATTCACACCACTATTCTGTAGATTTCAATACCGCTGGGTGTACTTTTGTTAGGTACATACTATCTACCATCGGTGCCATGTATTCACTGATCAGTTACCTGTTATCACCCGTAATCCCACCTTTGCCGTTCACGCCCCAATGCCGATGACTTGGCGCCGATTGTTAGTCTGTGCGGTTTTTTTGAACCTTTTGTGAGACTCGTCTGAAATTACCGTCAGTCTTGGGCCAGAGAGGGTAGTGTTTTTCAGTCTTACTTACACTGATTTTGTCAGGGGACCCTCTAATGGCCCTTCAGCGAGTGTAACATCTGTCTAGCTGTCCTGTTAGCGTCATCCTATTTTTTCTCTCAACACAATTGGATTCTGCCATAATCCTTGCTTATTTCGGTTTCGATGAGCGCATGTGATTTTCTAGGGGCTTTCACCTCGTACCTGATGCTATGTGACAATTTATTGACTGCCTCGGCGGTTGAGTAAACCTATGCCCGAAACCCTCTGCATAGGGTTTCGCGTTGAGGTGATTCTTGAGTAGCTTGCCTTAAAATGTTTGCTTATTGAATAATTGAAGTAAACAGACTTTGGCCATAGCCTAACTATTTTCCGTATGAAAAATCATCAACGATGGGTAAATATGCTGTCTATCTACCGTCTTTCTTCGAATATGGGTTTTTCAGCACATCTCTCCTATTTCACATGGAGTAGCTGATAAAGTTGCCAAAAGCCAACGGGTGGTGCCTGGTTTATAGTTGTCCCATTTTGAACGTGTTTCTGCTGGCCAACAGAAAGATCCGATTGAACAATCGAAGCATGGTAAGGAAGGCGAACTGCTCAAGAGAGTACAACAACCCCTATATTTTCATCCAGATGTTGGACACGGTAGGAGAGTGAGAGTACTCTAGCTTTTCGCAGGTCACGATTACGACAGGAAGGATTAGGTGGAGAACAGCACGTCGCGTGTTACCGTGATTAGGCTAATGTGACATTCGCTGACGTCAGAAAACTCGGAATGGGCGATTTAATGATTTGTGTGGTGAAAAGGAATCTGTTAGTGATACTGGATGGCAGCAACTGAGTGCACCAGACGCGATCGCGTTCAACAGCTTGCTGTTCCGCTGAAGAAGTGGCTGGGAACATGATATTTCCCGACAGTATATCGCCTCTAAGTATTTGTTTCACTTCTGAACACCGTGGGTTTTTTTTTGTTACTAAATACCGCAGCTGTGTATTATCCGGGTCTGAGCCATGCTACCAACCTTATCAATATGGCAATGTTCGTAGCATGATTCTGGGAACCTGTTTCTCACTTCAGTTCAACAGCAGACGGCCGAATCAGACGGATGATACAAACTTGAAGCTCGTAGCATAGAAGTCTATTGAAAAAAGACTCGAACGACACATGACGGCTTCAGTGGACAAATATCATTTCATTTTTCAGCCAGGAATTTATTTCAACTGAAAGCAGTTTCGTTTCATCAAGAGCGCTTCACATAACAGGCCTCACTTAGGTTGCTGTTCCTTCTAGTAGAGTTTTACTAGCTTATCCGGTTGAATATGACCTGGAACTGATATCAGTCTTTATATCTGCCGCAGAGGTTTTACCTTTACTCAGTGCAAAAAAATTTTTCACGCTTTCAATAAACTAGCTCACCATGGTATTTCCTTTTTTATCTACAGAAACGGTTACTGAAACTCTACATTGACCGAGAATTGAACAATGCGGTTTCGAGTGAATCTTTGGGTACTCGCAGCTGAACGCAGTCCGCATCCAAAAGCTAACTAGATGAACGACAAATGCCTTGCATTCACTATGCACAGTAGGAACTATGGTTCAGTCCAACTGACTATGCAATCACAATTGCTTGGGCATCCTCCGCACGCCATTGTCCCTCACTGTCTTTTTGTCGCCCAACCCCCTGCCACATGTCGTCCTACCCTCAGAACAACCAGCAGTCATGTGCACTGTTAGCTTCATATTCTTTGTTTCTTTAATTTCCATTGCTGCTTTTTATCCACCTCGGTTTTCGTCTCCTGCCTCTTCCCGAGACCGTTTTGTGTAAATCTGATTCGCTCGAAGCCACTTTTGGTAGTTTTCTGATAGTTTTTCAATACGCGAGTCATGATACTTAAAGAACGGCTGTTTCTCGGTCTGATCGACTCGAGACTTACCTTTCATCAGGTTGGCTCGGTATTTCGTTCGCCTGTAGTGAGTCCCATCTCGCCAAGATCTGCTATTTCCATCGTAACTTTGCGTCAGAAGATCCATGTGACACACTAGGTTGTTACTCGCTTTTTAAGTTTCCCGTCCGTGATAGTGATCTTTTCTCCATCCCAACCGGTTCGACTCATTTTTATCCAGCCTACTTATTATTACTTCTGATTTTCGCCCCCCCAGTCCCCTAGCATCCGCGTGTCCTCATTCATCTAACCACCCCGATGTTCTGTCATTACCATGGCTGTCACCCAGCTGCAACTGAACTCCATTCATCGCTGGTGGAATCGGTCTTGTTTGCTATTGGTCTTTGGTCGGTCCCCGTTGTTCTTCCTCAAAACGAACGTTCCTGTACAGACAAACTCGAATTCACAACTTACAGAGACTTTTAAACCCTGTTGGGTTAAGTCATTTGGTGTAATAAAATTTAATCCCCTCGAAACTGCATGCTTCTGTTTGCTTTTTGTTGACTGCTACTTTCAAGGCTGTTGTCGTCGAGTGAGGCCTCTCTTTGTCTCTCTAGTCTACTTTCGAAAGTGAATCCATCCGTTAGTTGACTCCGCCTGATGTCCAGTAGGATCACAACAACTGGTTGATCGCGCATTAGTTACAAGAGCCACTTTGAGTCATCTTGACGATACGGATAACAAACACGCATGCACATAGAATCGATTCAGGAGAGATGGTCCAAGTGGTTAGAGCGCGAATTTACTGACCGGGAGGTCCGTGGTTCGAGCCTGACCTCTGCCTTCCCACTTCCCCTGTCTAGGCTTGGGCCCCCCTGGCAGTATCCCAGTCCTCGTGAAACCTTCGGGTGGCATGGTGGTTAGGCACCGAAAGGATGCTGCAGCTGAACGATTTTTTTCATGAGAGATCGAGCATGTAAACCGTGTTTTTTGTACACCTGATTATGAGGCTGGTTAAAGAAAATAGAATAATGGAGATTGTCATACAGTGGCATGAGTGGGCTGGAGATGTAATGATCAGTGGAGGGAGGAAATAGGCTTGCCCACAGGGTTGGTACCCCACGTGTTCGTGGTGTGTGTACGGTGATTACTTAACGAAGATGAACCGGATAGCCTGGTGTTGTGAAGCATAGATTTGTGGGGGGGGGTGGCATCAGATGCAAATAAAAGTTAGTACCAGTAGAAAACAGACCAGATGTGTTTTGGTTCCGAGAAAGAGTCCGTTTGAAATCCAGTTAGTAGGGAGTGCGTGGGTCGTACATGGGTAATTCAATGGGATAACCCTTATGCCATACCTTATCGACTGCCCAGGTAAACCGAAGGCGTCTTGAACAGGTGATCTGGTGTGAGAAACGCCGAATCCATATAAAGAGTCCCTCGGGACGATACTGTCTTTAAGAGCCCTCTGGGGATGTTCGGTCCGAAGTGAGTCCATATATTTGGGGAAAATAGGGAAGCTAAAGTGCTACGCTTCACCACGCTCCCTAACAACGTAATGATGATGTCACCTCGATTGGTGATGAAACATTGGCAATCGAATGGCTCACCTCATCGAATAAACCATCTATGCTACCTGAGCTATGAACATTCTCTTCTAAAGCTAATGACTATATCTGTCAACAATCCTGGTCGAGTTTTTCTCTAGGTATCTATTTTTCACCATTGTACGAGAGAAGTGATTTCCATTCCACCTTTAAAACGCATTCTTAATTTTTCAGAGGTAATGTTCGTTCTGTTTGCAATGAATACTTCAAAGGCACATACAGCAGTATTTACGCATTGATTAACACGTGACAACGTAGCAGGCGTATTTATTCGATTTTTCCGTTATTCATGCCTATCTGTGATCAATATCCGTCCTGAGTAAGATCGATGATTTCAACACGTCTGTCATGTTGAGGTCATTGCTAAGCCCTGTAAAATATATGTTCCTTCTGTTTGATGCACACTCACCTACTTCAGCGTAGCAACTCTGATGCAACAACTGACGGGTTGGTAAGGTCAGTTAGCAAAGTAAATGAAATTATGGAGTGGAATTTTAAAAAATGTCACTTTCACAGCTATGAAGGGAATGTATTTTTATCCTCATATTCGGTGTTGTTTTCTTGTTGATTGGGGGAGGGAGATGGACCAATTGGTTAAAGCGTGGATTCACTGACCGGAAGGTCCGTGGTTCGAACCCGACCTCTGCCCCTCGATCACCCCTGTCTAGGCTTGGGCAACCTGGCAGCCCTCGTGCTTCCTTCGCGTGGTATGGTAGCTAGGCCCCGAAAGGGTACAGCTGGACGATTTATTTTTTTCTTGCCATCCTGCGTCCCCCCTTGCCATGGTGTGGTAGCGCGGTAGGTTGAGTGTATGCAATCGGGAAGAGTCCGTTGCATGTGAACTCCCGAAGAAGATTGGCAATCACGAGGCAGTTATTCAACGCTTCGCTGACTTTCGTTAGGTAGAACCGTGCTAAAGACCCATCCATTCCAATCTGATACTTGAGATGATATTCGTCTGCCTTCTATGATCGCAAATAATCAGTTGTAATCCAAAAGAGACGCCTTTGGATTCATCTGAGACCACAAACTGAGTGTTTACTACCCATTTAAATTGGTCTGCTGTCTACATTGGCTGTGGGTCACTAGTGCCAACGTCTGAACCTATGTCCAACCTTGCCTAATGTCCTAACGGGTAATGCATCCTAAAAATGTTGGGAATGAGGAAAAAAACAGCATGCTTAGCCAAGAGTCCACTTGGCAATTGGTCACTGGGTGCTCTACTCCATGACTCCATTCTACTCGAGATTTGCAACGTCTCGTCACAACCGAAACGGTTTTTTACGTCACAAAGAGATGCAAGTGTCCGGTCAAAAACAGGGGCTAGGTAATTTTCTGAGGGTTGACAGCTTCGGCAGTGACAACATTCAGTGCAATCTGATGATCGAACGTGGGTACAGGTTAAATTTGAATCTTCTTACAGTGATATGGGTTGGGTGGTGGCTTGTCTTCGCTGTGTACTTTTAAGAGTTACCATAAGTTTCGCGTCGGATGCGCAGGATGACCCTGAGCAGTGAAAAATGAAGGAGATTCAATCCATACCAGGTGATAGCGAACGCCGGGTGCCCTTCAGTTGCATTTCCACCGTAAAAACCATCTATTGCGGTCACTGGTAAATTCGTGCGGTAAAACAAAAAAGGTGAATGAAATAAATTTCACTTTTCACTGTACTATGGCATATTGTATCCGCACAGCATGAGGTTACAAACTTAAAGTCGAAAGTCCAATAGAGGTTACTCCCAAAAACGAAAGACAATCCTGTATGATCCCGTGGTGTACCACTGTAGTAGTAGTAGTAGTATGCTTACAGTACGAGCCATCCGTTTACTATCCTGTTTCAAAGCACGGATTTCTTCATGTACGGATTCAGAGCGTTGTTGGTACTGCTTCAAAATTTACGTCAGCTTGAGATTTACTGTGCTTTTGAGGTTTTCTTGTAAAACGTACATTTGGCAGAGTCGATACTAATTCTCTTCCAATTCTTCTATCCTTGAGCAACCGTATGTAGTGACTAAAAGATTTTGAAACCAGTACGCTTAAAGTGCAACGAACCCAGCTCGAAACTGGTTGATCGACGTCGTCTGGCGTCGGCGCTCAATGATTTGTGCACCCGTTTGCAGAGAGGTCCCACATACTCAACAGCCCATGAATTATTGACTTTTCATAGTCTCTGGAATTCTGTAGTGCCGCACCCTTGCTTACTATATATGACATCCTCTGATTTGCTAGAGCAGGGTTTGGAACTACAATGTTTAATTGTAGGGACTTTGCTTTGGAAAGCACCACAGTGAGAGATTGCACGCCACTTATTTCTAGTTGAGCATGATAGACATGTCGCACAATGTTCGCGTCTTACCTAGCCAAATTCATGGAAAATGCGCGTTGCAAGACAATAATTCCTTAATGATGTTAGGAATATACTTCCCTATCAGCAGACCTAGAATATTGTGGTGTTTGTCTGCGCCCATATTATCGCACTCATTGTCGAATTCGAACAAACGTTTCCCCTTTAACACTAGCGTATAAACCGGATGCGTGATCTGTATAAATTTCATCGCAAAATTAATACTGGAAAACGCAATCAGACGCAGCACATATCTCACCACGTTCATCTTCCATTATGTTTTTCACGTGATTGATAACAGCTGAACAGTAGCAGATGGTTGTGTACGTTTTCCCCTTCTCAGGGATGTTGGTTAGGTAATTGCTTTACATATGATGGACAAAATGTGTATGTTTTGTATACTGACAGTAGATACTGTTTCTCTACAATTACCATCGACGAGTGACTCTTTGAACTTGCTAGGCAAGACCATTCATGAAACTCTATGCTTGGCCAAAATCCGAGGGAAGTCCAAGCCTTGTTGTCGTCTTCGACACCAGATCCCACACTTTCTGACGCCTCCATGAGATCAGCAAGAGAATGACCGGGAGTTGCATTTGATTTATCGTCAGTTTGGTATGTAGTGTATGACCAGTTGGTGTTACAGCACTCGGGGATACCGACCACTTTCTAACGGCGTAAACTTACTTAGTTCGCATTCCCGCATGTTTGATGAAAAAACTTACTGAAGTGATCAAGCAGTGGTCAAATCCAGTCGGTTGATGTATGGAAATTCTCTAGTGGTGGGAACAACGCGATTATCGTGAGACAGAATGGTATACAAATCGAGGTTTAGCAATGTAAAAATATCACGCTTTTCTAGCACAAATCAGACAAAGTTAACTTATGTGGAGAAGTGTAGCGACAGTTTCTGGATATGGCGTTCGCTTCCTGGACGAAAATTCATGTAACCAGCCCATAGTGAACCATTTCCAGATATGAAACGTCGCGTTCCTAGCGTATGGCTATGATGAGTGCGGAAATTTATTATACTGCACAGAGCTTATTCTCAGGACGCTGCACCAGGCAGATTACCCAACCGAATATGTGAACGAAAGGGGCAGTCGCACTGACCAGAAATGTGCAGCTTCTGCTGGTGAGTTTCCATTTTTCAAAATTTCAAAAAAAAGCCAAAGTGGTTTTTGGCTGTAAGGTAACCGCTACACCCACGTTCCAGCCACTAGAAACATCCCGAAGGCTGGTTGCTTGATAAACATAAAGCTTTATAACATTATTGACCCAAGGACCGCTGAGAGCGCATATAACGCAATGTAGAACCAGTTATCAGCCTTTGGTGAGGCGAACTAATGAGAGATGGTTGATTCCTGAGGCCGAATGATTTACCTATTTCATACCATAATCATTACAAATAAACTTTTCGGCCATGTCGTCAGCAATTTTTGTATCATTCCTTTTAAGTTTGTGTGAACAGGTCACGCAGTTAATGAGAATACCAAACAGTGGGATTCACTGATGTCTCACATAAAAACAAAACTTTGGAATTGGTAGACTAATATTCATCACTCAGTTCTAGTGGAATTCTCTCAG